TATATATATATATATATAACACAAATACATACATATATATTTAGACAATATAGTTTACATTATCATTATTATAGTTAGGAATAGAAGTTATCAATACAATTTTAGGCATTCGTCAGATTAGATATTCTACTTTTATCATTGCTAGTTACTTCTTACGTATATTATCATCTTGGTCAGATTCTGTCGAGTCGCTGACGTCTTTAGGGTATGCAAGTGTTCGACGCTTGGTTGAAACTCCCCTCTGTGGTATTTTATTTTTTACTCGAGTTTTCAACAACTTGTTTGCGTCACGGGACTCTTCTACAGTAAGCTGTAATGTGAAACGTTAAAAGTTCAAGAAAATTAAATTTTCGTTATATGGTTGCCATCATAAAATAAAACCTGAAAGAGAAAAAAAAGGAATTTGTTTTAAAGTGATATTTGCTAAATTGAACACACGAATTACACCATTATTTACGTCACTTTTAGATAAATGAAGATACATTTTCATAAAGCTTTTAACGTATAGTTTATTATATACAATGGTGTAGGAAGGAGTTGCAAAGTGGAGGTGTTTGGCTAGACATGCAGGTTTTACAATGAAAGACTGAAAAAATAAAGAGCTGCTAAAAGGAACTCCCGTGCTACCAAAAGTAGCTCAATCTAGGGGGGCATGCCCCCAGAAAATTAATATGATAAAGTGTACAGTTACTTTTTAATTCAAATATGTCAAAATGGGGGTGCTATAGCACCCCCGGTTCCGACGTGTCTGATATACATCATATAAATACGGTTCATTTAAAGGTAACTAATTTAACAATACAAATTTCACAGTTTTAACTATATAGTTGTTAACTATGAAGTTCATGATTAAGATTGTCATAAAAACCGAAGGCGTTAACATGCTAGAATGAAACTGAAATGTAAACTTCTTGGCAATTACTAAATAATGTAAATTGTGCAACGTTATTTTATCCATGTTTTAAGTTTAATGCGTATGGTTAAAAAAATAGTACTAACACGATAAATTTCAAATACAATGGATGGGGGACCGAAATGTTCAATATTTATAATTAAAATATATTTACTAATGGTACTTATATATAAAATGATAAATTTAAACTGTCTGAAAATATTAAAAGCAAATAATTAAGCCACTTTTGAAATTACAGTTACGTGAAGATAAATCAGAGTTAAAGAGGACCGAGCTATACAAAACACTGTTTATCTATCAGAACACTTACATTGACCGATTCTTCCTCATCCACTGGTTTTACTGGCGTATCTCTTAGATAATTCATGTTCTCATTAGAATATCTCCATTCACTAGTTTGAAAAGTATTTTCTGAAACAGAGTTGCCGTCACCATTTTCGCCTGTTAAACCAATCTGTTGCCCATCGTATTGGTGAATCCAATCCCAGAGTTCTTGGAAGGACATTGGCTATAGGAAAATACAGAAGTTGCTTGAGATTTGTTTAGGATGGGGGGGGGGTAAAACAAAATTATATAGAGGGATAAAGTTAAAAATTTCTCTGAAGCCTTTAGAAGTTACATCTATTTTTATACGTAAATTTTGCTACAAAAGTTCTGCTTGATGGTCATAATCTTTTATTTAACTAACATGATCAAATCCTATTTAAATCTGTATAAGTACCCTCCCTCCCGTTGAATATACAAGACAGTCCATCCAAGGAAACACAATGATTAAACATAGGTTTATTAGCAGTATCGCATTTGTACAATATGACAAAATTTCGCCGTGAATTTGAAACAGAAGATTGTACAAACACACACACACACACACACACACACACTAACTATAGACCATAGATACTAATAAGACGGTAACGG